ATTGGGTCTCATCGTTCACAGTTTATGCTTTCAAGGTGTCAACATTTTTGCAATCGAGTGTATACACAAATACAATGAAAACTCACCAACTGTTCGAGCTTAGGGTTTCTATGAACAATGATAATTCACTGTAACAAATATCTCAACATGAACGCGACAATTTTCCTTCCAAAAGCGCATGGGCGATTGCCCAGATGTTTTACGTAAAGCATAGGCCTGCAATGGGAGCTATAAATACTTCTTGTAGTTCTAGTTATCTCAGATACAGGTTGAATGGAAAGGAGTTCTGAGTCAATTTCCTCTATTTTGTTCCCAATGAAGTACAGCTTGTCTTTCTTCTCTTGGGAAAACCAGCTATTTAATAATTGTTCCACCACACCTTCACATACACAATGCATGTAGTCAATGGCAGTGCCATGAATGACATCAAACATTGGGATTCCAAATCCCCAACACAAACCAAGTACTCCCTCTATGTTGTAATTCTGATGGGACAGAAACCAGTGAATACAAAAAACAAAATTGTAGTATTGACACTTACTCTCCAACTATAGTTGGAAAGAAAACCCTTTTATCTTAGAAGGATTAAGGTTAATGAAGGTACAACAAAAGCTCAACACTTAACGATGAGTTGCAAATTGGCCTTGATTTACATCACAACCAATAACTTTTTTAACCACTTGGTTTGATGAATTTACAAACTGTAATCACATCATCAGTTTTTACACAAAATTTGAACTTCAGGAAAAACAATGCTGACTCTGTCAACTCGGAGAATATTAGTCTTGCGCTCAAAAACAATTTGCAGCAGTTTGTATACCAATTTGGCACCATCCTTTTTCCTTCTCAACACCTGGAGGGCCTGCTCCTTGACTTTGTCATGCCTTCTGATCTCAGCATGACCACTGGCTGAAAAAGTGTTGTAGGGGTATATGTGGCACTGCCTGTTCCTAGCCTTTTCTCCAATGCCAACAACGTGCTGACACCCTTCCTCTTTACACTTGGAACACCCAGAGTAAACATTAAATTGCTTCTTTGAGTCCAGTGTTACATCAAGCAGGATACCTCGCACACTGACCACATCTTCATTACCCATTGATACCTGCGATCATGTTAAAAAAAAAAATACCATGTCACAACACATCTAGGCCATCACCCATTGTGCTGGCACCATTTTTACTCGAAGTAGCACTGCTAGCATATTCTAGAATAATTTGGCCATTCTGGTAGGAGAAAAGAACTTTAAAACAACTACTCCTTTAAGATCAATCTACTAAAATGTCATGTAAACACAATGACCAGTTCTTACTCTCAAAAAGTTTTCATAGAATGATACAGTTTGCAAGAGGCAAAATGAAAGGCAGTAGAATCAAACTACTAGTTCTCTTTTTTTTTTTTAATTTTTTTGTTTTAAGTTTGCCACTTTAGGTGGACCTTAAAAATGGCTGCAAAAATGTTGGAAAATGTGGTTTCCTTTTGCTAAACCAAAGTCCTGCAAAAATGCGATTTGTCCTGCTGAACCTAGAAATGCAGATGCCGAAATGCAGAAGAATACTGGTAATGTGTTGCCAAATCACATATTGCATGAGAACATTGATAAGCCTTTGAAGCAAACATGAGAGGATCACCTTAGCATATCCATTTTGCCTGTCTTTTTTATTAATTTTTATATGCAGTAACTTAGATAAGAATTGCTAGCAACCTGTGAAGTATACAGTGTAACTAAGAGAGTGAGAGAATTAATAAGAGGTGAAAGCTCATTGATCACCAGGAAAACTGGCCAGACTCCATAACTTGATGAGTGAATGAGTACAACATCATCAGTGTTGCCTATGAGTGAGGTTTTGGTTGCTCTTGCCAAGAAACCACCAGGTCCTGAAAACATCTTGTAAAGCTTGCCATTATAGACATCTTTAATTGAACCATCATTACTAGTTTCTCTATGAAATCTATACCTGAGGTTTTCAAGTTGTCCTGGACCTGTAGGATAAAACAGTGTTCCTCAGCCACCTCAATTACACTGTAGGCAAGAAATTGATTTACAGTAGCTGTATCCCTTGTATACTAGTGAATGACAATTAAGTCAATATTAGCCATAACATTCTCCTTAAAGACTTGCAAAAGGTGTCAAGGTAGTTCAAATGGTTGGTAGATTAATGTACCAATTTATGTTGTACTTACAGCAGGCACTTTATGTATGTATGGATGTATGCATGCATGTATGTATGCATGCATTATGTATGCATGTATATATGTATGCATGTGTGTGTAGGCATGCATTCATTGTGTATGTATGTATGCATGTAATACAAGTTTTCCTTGTGCGTACAATCAACATTTCAATAACAGTAAAGTAATATCACTTAACTTAGTTCCTGTTTTTAATGAGGTATAGTCCTGAACATAGCTGTCAATAGTAGATTTGTTGATAGGGTGTTTCTGATCCTTACATGTAACCATAATGTATTACATGTACATGCATTGTAGAATTGAACCTATGCAACATAATAGTTTGTAGCTGGTCTTCTATTGGAAGCTCAATGAAAAAAAACTTCCCTGATAGTGACTTACTGCATATCCTACAAACATCACCATCCTTTGGTTTCTCAGCAGACATGTACACCTGACACTTTAGATTAGGGCAACAACTGCATTATTCTCCTTAGGACAATGTAACTCAAGGAGACTAATGAAATCATTTTAGGCAACCAAGGTGTAACTGACTCCAGGCACAATTACCACAAGTTCAGAATTAAAAATAAAGGTCGTCAAAGCACTGATCAACAGCACTGGACTTCGTGTTGATTTCCAATGATTTATCTTTATTACAATATGCCAATGCTCAAAACCATCAAACTAAAATACAAATACAAATATCTAGTCCATGCAATGCAAAAGAACAAAGCAGATTTGATGTGATAAAAATACAAACACATGTAACGGCAAAACAACTAAACTAGAAATAAACCGACGAAATGAGACTAAGAAAGGTAAAAAATAGATGCTTACTGATTGTCCCTTCTGTACACCTGAGTAGTTATAAACGCAGGATCCAAAAAGTTCGCAATAAACACAAGAAACTCCACAAACGCAAAAACACAGACCATGCACACAGACGACTAGTAAAGACGCACGAGGTTCTGAAATACAATCTGACAGAAACTTCACTAATATCTAACCTAGACAGTTACACAAGGACATTTTGTGTCGCATAATAAATGCCATGGTGAGAAGTAAACTTTCTCCCACTGTAATTCTACTATCTTCATACAACAGTTCATCTTCCATGCTTCTTTTTTTCCTCCTTAGTCCTTTTTTCCTCCTGAGTGCCTTAGTCCTCCTCCCAGCTATGTTTTAAATGGTATTAATGTGGAGGTTGTCACAGCCAAAAAAGGACCAGCAAGGACCAGCAATTTAATCCTTGTTGAAAACATACAAAGGAGAGCTACTCGCTTTATCTTAAGGAATAGTAACCTATGTTATAAGGCTTGTTTAATCAAGCTTAAGTTATTACCGCTAAGTTACTGGTTAGAATATCTTGAATTAGTTTTCTTTTTTAAGTGCCCTCATGGGCTTATAGATTTCACCTGCGAATTTAATTGTTATTTTTCTTTTCTAAAGGGTAACACACGCCGTGCTTCATCAGGGCTGCATTTAAAGTTAAATGCCTGTTGTACGTCTTCCTTTCGAGACTTATACTTCAACAGAATAACTTTGATGTGGAATAGTTTACCTAAAAATATCAAGGATTCAGACACTGTAAGCTCTTTTAAAAGTAAACTTAAGTCGTTTTATATTACTAGACTTTTGACTGATTTTGATGGTGACAATTTTTGTCTTTTAAATTAATTTTTCCTAAGTGTCATGTAAATACTTCTTCTGTCTGTACTTGTTAAGTTAAGTTAAGTTATGTTGTTAATTTGTATACTTTAGAATGTTCTGTGTGATTTAGATTATTTGAATTGTAGTTTAGTCAGATCAGGGAAGGGATCTTTTCTCGGGATATTTCTTTCTGGGATATTTTTGGTGGGGCTGGGTGTGGGTGTATTAACCAAGTAGGGGACTTATGTCCGATTGTTATGCACCTGTACTTGTACTTGTATGAATCCATTAAATGAATAAATAAATAATACCTCGTTCTTGAACAATTCATCTTTGTCATTGTAGCTTTCAAGTTTTTGTTTAAGTTTCTTTCTTCACCAAAGAGTTGAACATTTGAGGGCTTGCTTTCAGCATGGAATCTCCACTTTTTGTAGCTTGGATTCTTGCCTGGGTCCATGTCTAACGAAAACTGATCAGATAAACTATCAGCATAGCAACCAAGCTTGCCCAGAGAGTAGCCAGACTGGGTACGAGAATTGAATCAATGAGAGAACCGGAAATTTTGTGGCGGGAAAAGAGAGGAAATGAACAATAATTGCCTTCAACACAAGGCCACCATGTGGTGGAACTTGTAACTCCTGCAGTTCGTTGAAGGATTACGTTTCTCAACCGTTTCCCATGCTTACAACAGAGGTATTCCACAGTCTTCGTGATCAAATCTGAATTCTCTCTTTGTCATCAACTTTTACTCATGACATTTTAGCTCTAGCTTGTCTTCTTTTAGAGTAAACTTTTGCAGTGCAAGAAACATGTTAGACAAATTTCATACTTCATTAGCTGGAGTTGCTAAGATCATGGGCAGTTGGCTTAAAGAAACCTACATAAGTAGTTACAGCAGAGGTTACCACATCAAATAACGGAAAGAATCTAAAAAAGACGCTGTGTATTTTCAGCCAGAGGACAATCATAAAACAATAGCCAAAAGAGGAAAAGTTTTAAGAGAAAAAAATGGGAAAAAATGGTGGGGCAAGCAGTCATACCCGGCAACTTCAAGAGAAGATATGAGAGAAGCCCATATGATTCTGGCATCTTGATTTACTAATTCACTGTTATCACATTTGTAATCTTCAATCGACTGATGATGTCTAAACTCCAAGTAGTTTACTGTCGTTTCTTTCAATTTTGGCTCATTTTCCAAACCAAAATTATCAGTCATGCTTAAAAGAATATAATTTCAACTGATGCTGACATTACACACTTCCTCTGAAGAAGAAAAGATTCTATATCTTCGAGAATTTGCTCAAAACATCAGGAACAACAGCAAAGGTCCTCAGCTGCTTGAAGATGTGTTTTACCACAAGTTGTGAGAGCATCGTCCCCAGGTTCCCTCCCCACCCCCGGGACTGTTCTCTTAATCCCCTTGAAGAAACTCCTCTACAGCCGGTGCTGAAGAGTTTTATCACAGTTTTTAATATAATGAGGGGCTATAAAATTAACAAGAGCTCTGTTTTAGGCTTGGCTAAATCTATGTATTACATAACAATGTTGTCTCAGAGATGATGTCTGTGTGGTCTTGTTTGATTTTTACCTTTGCCTTGCTCAAAAATATGAAATTGTGCTCAGGATGACATTAAATTTTAGTGCATAGTGCTGTGATATCTAACACAGTATATTTAATGCAATTACCAATGATAAAGGAATTAACTAGAATTTCAATGATGAATGTAGAGCATGGCAATTAATCAAATGATCAATGTCTAATCAAGAACTAGCTCTTTCTCAATGACAAGTACACAGCATTAATATCAGTGAAGGTTACTTCATACAACAGTTACTGTAAACCACCATACCAAAAATCATGGCGACTGATACATTCACCCAGAACTCCTTATGCAATAAAATCCTGGAACCACTCATAAAATCAAGCAGAAAAGGTAAAAAAAATTGAATTCTTGCATACATAATGGAGTTGTTTTGTGAAATATTGCCTTCTACACGTGCCTTATTGTAAAATGTCCAGGCGCCATCTTTGTCTGTAAGTGGATTGAATCTCATGGGTAAACACCAGGAAAAATAGTACACCTTTTGTTTATTTATGCAAAATGTACATTAATTTATGTCAACAGTTGAAACTGTACGGCAAGTATACATTCATTAGCACTTCCATGAACTTCATTAATGTGAACGAACTTTCAATAATGCTATTTGCATATGTATTAACATTCAATAGCATCAATGGATGAACAATTGCACCTTTCGACAACCAAACATAACAAGTATACTTTCAATCTTGCACAATGAATAATTACTAACACCAATAGAAAATCAATTGCATAGTATGACAATCAAGGGCATATTAGAGACATACAATAATGCATAAAGACGTATAATCAATTGCACCTTCAGACAATTGTTTATTTGATATGGTCAATCATTAACGTGAACTGACAAACGTGTGTAGTAATAACAGTCAACTAAGGAAAAAGAAATTTCAAAATTGTTCAATTACATTGTGCTGTAATGTAATGTTTTGCAACTATCCTTCAATTTCTTCATTATTTAACCCTTTAACTCCCAGAAGTGATCAACATAAAACTACTCCTTATAATATTCTTACATTATCCAGCAAATAGGTAATGAGAATATTCAAACTTATCAGTTAGAAGTTGTTATCTTGATCTAACACCAAATTCTCATTACTAATGTATAAGGAAATGTGTAGCAGCTTGAGGGGAGAATTAACAATTTGATCCTGGGAGTTAAATGGTTAAACATCTTGTAATGTATGTTTGCGTAAATCTGTACCACTCTTCACATTTAGCAACCGTGATGGTGCCTATGTTTCTCTGCAGGACATGAAGTAGCAATTGAGTGCAGAAGTTACCTCGTCTGATTTCTTGTCATCTTGCCTCTGCTCTGTTGTGCATCTGTTCTTGCTGCTCTGGATGGCTTACGTCCACTGTTATGGCTGCTTTTAAGGCACTTATTGCCTGCTCTACAACGTTAAGAAATTGCCTGTATGGTGGTAGCTTTTTAAGCTCAGAATTAGGACCAGGAATGGCAGGATTGTTGTGGGCTGGTGCATTGTCATAAATGAAAATCACATGTTTATTTGGGTCTAGAGTTAGCCTTGTCTGTGACAGAAATTCATTAAATTGACCATTCATTCCACTGAGAAATGCTGAGTGAAAAACTAGTCCATTGGTTGGTGAAATTGCCAGTACTACAGTAACATTTCTCTCTTGCTGACCACATACTTGTCGATATGCTCTCTCTCCTATCCTTGTTTGTCCGTGACTTCTTGCTTTCCAAATATTTTAGCTACACTTGTCTATGAAAATACTATGATTCACTACAGCATAGCACATGAACCAGTTGGCACATGAACCAGTTGGTACAGTCAAGTCTTTTTTGCAGGACATAAGGGTGGTTTCGTTCAACTGGGATTGGCCTTGCCAATTTCTCATGATACAATATACCTTCAAGTGTTCTGGTTACTGTACAGTCATGGATTGTTGGTTTTCTTGGAACACGCTGTCTCAATTCTTGATTTATCTGTGCTAGTGTTAGCAGGCAAATTTTGTTCAAAATGTCATCCAGGCAATTCTTCATTTCATCATCTACTCAAACATGATTTGTTCCTCCTTGTGGTCTCTCTGTGATCCTTCTTTCTCACAAGTATCGTGCAATGATACTTCTTGCTATTGAACAGTTCACTCCGATAGTAGCAGCAACCATCAAATAATCTTCATTAACATCTTCAAAGGCTTGAATAATTCTTTGATGCTGTTCAAG